CCGATGATAACGGACACCGCAGACAGTGCATGCCAGGCCTCCTGCCGAGCTAGCCATCGCTGGCCTTTCCCCTGGCCATCCCACGGGAGGAGCATTTTTGGACCTCTGTCTGAGATACGAGGCAGCAGGTTGGCGGAAGGGAAGTGCCTTGGACACCAGGAGACTTTGTGAGGAGGAGAGCAGGGAGTTTGGGCTGGCAGTTAATGGCCCAGATTTTCAGGATAATGTGAGGAAAATATTAGAACCAGGACGTGTAATGTGGAGAGCCTGCGACCTGACAAGCAGGCTGGTCACTTCTCAGAGGAGTTCATTCTGGGTCTGCACCAAAGTTTCCCAAGTTCCTTAGCCCGGGGGGCTTCTAGGGGTCAAGGCCTCGGTATGGAAGACATGGCAGAGGACATGCTCCAGAGGTGGCCTGGCCCTTGAAGGCAGAGCCTGGCTCTGTCTCATTCTGTGCTCTGCTTCCAGCACCCAGAGTCAGGCCTGGCGCGTGCACGGGTTGGTGGGCGGGATGGGAGATGGAAGGGAGGGGGGAAATTTGGACAGATGGATGCTTGGACTGAAGGAAAGGATGGAGGAGAGGCGGGTAGGGGAGAGCGAGCAAGCGAAGAATTGGCACCAGAATGAAGTAGGAGAAAGGGCGGAGACAGAAGAGTCTCCAGCTTTTACCCGCGGTGCCGTCATAAAGGCTTACGGCCCACTACTGTTTCCCGTCTGTTCTCCTCGCGCGCAGATTTCATTCACGTGTTTATTTAGGAAACATTTTGACAACTAAGCTGGATGCTGGGGATCAGCAAGGAAGTCAGGGTCTTCCTCTCAGAGAGGGAAGCTTGCAGTCTCAGGACGTCCCCCCAGCCGGTGGTTGTGGGACCTGGTCTTCAGCTCCCTGGCCAGAATGGGCTCCCCTGTGGGGGTTAGGGGTGCTCCTGGAGGACAGGGACTGGCCACCTGTGGGTTCCCTGGGCTTCACACTTATCACAAGGAAGGAAGGTTTCATGGAAGGTTTCTTTTCTTTGCTAAAACTTTGCTTTGACTGGCTCTCCCTTTCCGTGGAGCTCTCGGGTTTTGTTGTGGATTAGGATGTTACAAGCTCGGGCAGTGTGACTCTTACTTTTCTTCTTTAACCAGGATCGATCGCAAGATGTCAAGCGCTCACACCAACTATAAGCTGGACGAGGCACAGGCTATCATGAGTGAGCTCCGGACCATCAGGAAAGCCATCTGTACGGGCGAGAAGGAGCGGCGGGACCTGATGCAGGTAGGGGGCCTGGTCCTCCGCTCTGCACGCCCCACCTGGCTCCCGCCTGCCTGCCCGCCTGCCTAGCTGCTTTATTTATAACACATTTTAAATATATCTTGGTTACATAGATTATTTACTCTATGGGCCATTGATATGTGCTACCACGTGTGTATATCACACACACACACACACACACACACACACACACACACAGACTCAATATCTAAACCAGTGCAGTAGTCCCCAAGGGTGGCCGTCTCGAAGTATCAAAAACTGAGTGGCTTAGACCCACAGGAACTTATTCTCTTGGTACTGGAGGCCAAAGGCTGAAATGAAGGTGTGGGCAGGGCCGTGCTCCCCCCAAAGGCACGAGAGGAGGAGCCTTCCTGCCTCTTAGGCCTTGATGTCTGAAAATCCAGGTGGTGAGAAGACGTGAGCACCATGTGGGAGGTGCCTGCACCGTGTCTTACTGTCCTGAGGTGGCGTTCAGCTCTGTGACACTTAGCATCTAACCGAACATTTGGATACGGCTATTTCCAAAAATTCCTTTTTTTCTTTAAGAAACATAGAGACTTAAAAAATCAATCGAGATTGGACCACAGTCATTCTCTGTTTTATTCCTGTGTTGCCTGGTCTAGTCATTGTTTGATTTTTTGAGTTGTCAGAAAAGTCACAACTTTATTTTTTTCTATGCAAAATGCATCGTGACTTTTCTGACAACCCAGTAGATGGCTGAGAACTTGATCAACAGTGTGCGTGGTGACGGCAGACAACTCTCTTAAATCTAGAGGGCTGGGCTGGGCTAGGACACCTCCCCAGGAACAGCGCCGTTGACCTGGACCTGGAATGATGCCAGCAGTCGGGAAGGGAAGACCATTGCCGCCTCCGTTCTAAGCGCCTGTCTCCCTCTGTTCTAGAGCTTGGCCAGGCTCACGGATGGCTTCAGGAACAGCTGCTCCATCACTGACTCACTGCAGGACCTCCCTCTCCACCCAGGCCTGGGCGAGCCTGCCTTACCGCAGCAGCTCTGTGATGCCGGGTCTCAGACTGACGTCATTGGGGAGGTATGCGTGCCACGGGAGAACCCAGTCTGCCTGGACAGGGGAGAGCTACTTTTGTGTTTTTGTCTCTTGTTTGGTTTAATTTTCCATTTTCGCTTCAGAAATGTGTTGGCTTTTGTGCCACTAAGTTTGAAGAAAAAAAACCTTGTTTTTATCTCCAGCTGAGATGGTTCAGTGGCATAGAACACAACAGAATTGCTTATTTAGCTCCATCCTTGTGATCTGAATTCTGAAAAATAGCATAATCCTTCTGAGAGTTGAGTTTAAATGTTTTCTTGACAGATGGGTCAGCAAGCATTTTTTTTAAAAAAATTTATTTAATTTTATTTGTTATTATTATTATTTTTTTCTTTTTTTGGAGAGGTTTTTGCTATAGGGTGTGTGCGCTTGCCAGACAGACAGAGAAAGAGACAGAAAGCGAGAAATCACCCCCCAGAGGGGATGGTCATGCCGCAATCCCTTCTCCTCCATTCTCCTCTCGGGATCTTGGGCACACACACATACATGCCTGGTGTGAGTTTAAGCCACCGGGTCCGGGACACGAACCATGGTCGACTACATGGGAGTCCAGCGACATAGCCATTACACTAACTGCTGGTCCCTATTTGTTATTTTTTTAAAAACTTACTATTGGGCACATGTGTTCACCAGAGAGAGACACACACAGAGAGAGAGAGGGAAAGTGAGAAAGCAAGCTGCCAAATCTAGGACTTAAACTGTGGTTGGCCGTGTGGGAGTCCAGTGCTTTAAACACCATGCCACCTGCTGGCCTTCAGCAAGGTTTTTCTGTAAAGGGTCAGATAGTGAATTTTCAGGGCTCACAGGCCACACAGCCTCTGCTGTAACTATTCAGCTCTGTCAATGGTAGGACACGAGAGGAGTCCATGTGAAAATGAATGGGCAGGGCTGTGCTCCAGTAAAACTTTATTTACAGAAGTGGCAGTTGCAGGCCTACGATTCAGACCAGTGGTTTCTTTTTTATTTTTTAAGAGAGATTTTTGCTAGGGTGCATGTGCTTGCCAGAGACAGAGACAGAAAGTGAGAAATCACCCCCGGGGAGATGGCCATGTCGCAATCCCCTGTCTTCCATTTTCCTCTTGGGATCTTGGGCACACATGCACATGCGCTGGTGTGAGTTTTAAGCCACTGGGTCCGGGACTTGAACTGTGGTCGACTATGTGAGATTCCAGCGACATAGCCATTATGCCATATGCTGGTCCCTGGACCGGTGGTTTCTATTTTTTTTTGGAGAGATTTTCACTATAGGGCGCGTGCGCTCGCCAGACAGACAGAGAGAGACATTGGAGACAGAAAGCGAGAAATCACCCCTCGGGGGGATGGTCACGCCGCAATCCCTTCTCCTCCATTCTCCTCTCGGGATCTTGGGCACGCACGCACACGCGCCCGGCGTGAGTTTTAAGGCACCGGGTCCAGGACTCAAACCGCAGTTGACTACGTGGGAGTCCAGTGACATAGCCATTACGCTAACTGCTGGTTCCCCCGGTGGTTTCTAAAGGCTGTGCCACCTTGAGTTCTAGGTTGTTGATGTTTCTTACTCTTTTGGAAGAATGTCAGGAAATTGAAGGGAGTTGAAAGTCATTTTGTTTGAACTTGGAAGAATTTCATGTCCCTTTTCCTAATTAGCAAAGCCTTGAGTAGGCCACAGAAATGAAGATGGGAAAATCACCATGGGAAGCAGAGCGGTGAATATTCAAAATATTCCTCTACTATTGTCATGCCATTGAGTGAAGTTAGACATTATTTGGTTGCCACTTCTTTTTCTTACGACTTACTAAGTATAATAAGATGAGGTGTCAGTGGAATGTACGATGCCCTCCCGCAAGTGCGCAACTAAATGAATAAAAAGGAGCAAGCAGGGGAAAGCGCAACTGCGAGAAGTCCGGGTGGTGAGTAAGTAGCTAATATTTGGGTGACCAGTGCCCTTTTGAGGGGAGCGCGGTATAGTACACCATGACTTTATGTCTTGGGTGTCCTGGCGATGGCCTATTTTTAACCGTGCCCTCGTTGTGGTTGCAAGTATTCTGGGGCGTTTTGGCCAGGCATCTTCTTTTACTCGTAGAAGATGGTTACCATCTGTAACACGCAGAGGAGCTGTGAGTCAAAAGCGTTTGGGAATTTTGCCAGAAGGTTTTGGAGCAAGAAAAGGAAAGAAGGATAAGACTCATTGAGTTCTGTGAATATTCATCACTGCTTTCTTAGTTAGGAGTTAAAGCTCTTGACTAGTCTGAGAGAAACAGGCAGCATGGGAGGCTTTAGGTAAGCCATTCTAGAAATGGAGGGTGGCAGTGGTGGCTGACACACTACATGAACTATGCTAGCAGTAAAGTAGCATTGTTTCGGAGCCCCTGCAGTTTCTTTTCTTTTCTTTTCTTTTTCTTTTTCTATTTTCTTTTTCTTTTTCTTTTTTTTTTTTTTTGTTATAGGGTGTGTACGCTCACCAGAAAGACAGAGAGAGACAGAGGGCGAGAAATCACCCCCAGGGGGGATGGCTACACTGCAGTCCCTTCTCCTCTCAGGCCCTTGGGCATGCATGCACACATGCCTGGTGTTAGTTTAAGCCACTGGGTCTGGGACTTGAACTGCAGTCTACTACATGGGAATCCCGCGACATAGCCATTATGCCAACTGCTGGTCCTGCCCCTGCAGTTTCTTGAGGCTGGCCCAGGGTTGGCACACCTGTTACCTTAGTGTAGATAGTTGTTCCCGTACCCATTTGGGAGACAAGGAGACCAAGGTGCCAGATTACCTAAGGTCATGTAGCTAAGGAGAGTCAGGTCTGGGCTTGAATTAACATCTCTGATCCTTAAAGCCTTGTACTTCCTACTACAGTTTATCATAGACATATGTATGTATGTATTAAAAGGCTGTAACTTGTTAACCACTGCACATAGCAAATGGCCCCCAAACCTAACATCTTCAAATAACACTCCTTTTTATTTTTAAATAACTTTCAGAAGGTACATGTACTCTGGAGATGGGAGGTGGTCTTGCTGCAATCTGTTCTCCTCTTTCTCCATCCTGCTAAGATTTTAGACATGGACACACATGTGCCCAGCTTGTTTATCAAGCCACTGGGGCTGGGATTTGAACCACAATCGGCTATGTGAGATCTGGTTTTCAGTGCATAAGGTCTAACTACCAAGCCAGCTCAGCACTCCTTTCTTATCTCACACTTTCTGAGGTCATGAGTCTGGGCCGGGTCCCCTGCTTCAGGGTCTGTCAGGAAATGACAAAGTGGCAGCCAGGCTGCAGAGACATCTGAATGTTCACCTGGGGAAGGATCTGCTCTTGAGCTCACGTTCACGTGATGGTTGGAGAATTCAGTTCCTCACAGGCTGTTGGACTGTGGGCTTCGAGTCCTTGCCAGGCGGGCCTCTCCAGCATGGCAGCTTGCGTCATAAAAGTGTGCCAGCTGTGAGTCTGCTAGCAAGATGAAAGTCACAGTCTTTTTAATCTAATCACGAGAAAGCCTTCTGGTCACCTTCGCTGTTTTCTGTGGATTAGAATCAAGGCATAGGCCCATCCAACCCTCAAGGGGAGGGGATTTCACACGGGTGAATCCCGGGAGGTGGAGATCACTGGGAGCCAGTTCAGAAGCCCGCCTACTTCACTTAGTTCTTGCTTTGAGTCAATTTTGTGGGGTGGGTGTTGATGTCTATCAGACATGCTTTTCCAGACTGGGGATTGGCAGGTTGGTACATGCACTAGGGCTGCATGGGAACTGTGAAGCAGGAACCTGTTAGATCCGTTTGGCTGGCTGCTGCTGCTGCTGCTGCTGCTTTTTTATTTTTAAATTAAAATGTTCGCCTAGTTCTCAAAGAGTGCAAACACAAAGCCTGCAAAGTTGCACAAATAGCTATGAAAAGAGCCTTGGAGACTCCATTTATTGGTCTCGATGAAGAGTTGGCTGTGTGCTTTCTAATAGAGGGTGGTCCGGTGACAAGTAGCTCTTGCCCACTGTACGCACTTTTCAGAGCCGCGACGCTCAGGGCTAAATGCTTTATATTGAGGAAGCTGGAGAGGGCGTCAGATGAGGCCGTGTAGACACGTGAGACTGGGACATCTGAGGACAGCCTGTCCTCGGCAGATGTGTCCTCTCTTGCTATCCAAGGCGACGAAGATGTAAGGAAATTCCCTGTCGACATAGATCTAAACTGCATTGCTACATTCCTCACCAGCCATTCAGGTAGTGTCTTTTCAGGTATTTGTTGACTAAGTAATTCCCTGTTTCTTGTAAAACTTAGTTTGTTAAGTTTACTTGAATTGCATTGAAAGCACACAGTAGACGAGTCTGCTTCCACTGTCACAACAACAAAAACAACGAAAACAAACCCAGCAGTTTCAGGAAAGCAGAAGTCTTCCCAGGCCAATCCCCAACCCCGCTGGCCGGAGGAGGCAGTGCAGTATTTCTTCCTTGGTGTCTTTCCCTCTGGGCCTTTGAAAAAGCAAAAGACAGATGAAAAGAATATTCTTCATTGTTGTCAAAAGTTTTAAATGACTTTCCTATTTGAAAATGTGTTTTTAATACATGTTTCCTTTCTTTTCCCCCCTGTCTCTCTCTTGTTCCGGAAAGTTTGTCTTTGATGATAAAACAAGACTTGTAGACCGAGTCAGACTTAACTGGCAGTATGAGGAAGCCAGAAAGAGGTAAGAAGTGCGCGTCCCCAGCTTGTCTTCTCCTTTCCTACGCTCTCCCTCGGATGGTGGCTTGGCGGTGTCCCACCGTGTGACTGCCCGCATTTCCCACGTGGCAGTCTGATAGAATACAGAACTCCCAAGTGCATTTAAACTGCCAAGTCCTCAGTACAGGTCGGCATTCTTCATTTGAAAACCTGGACTCTGAAATGTTTCAAAATCTGAAATGATGCCACAAGTGGAAGATTCCACACGTTGCCTCATGGGACAAGGTACAGCCAAAATGCTGAAGTATTCAATCATCGTATAGTGAGCTCCAGTTACATGTAAAGATGTGTATGAAACATAAATGCATTTCGTGTTTACACTTGGGTCCCATCCCCCAAATACCTCGCCATGTAAGTGCAGATACTCCAAAATCTGAAAAAATCCAAAATTCGAAACACTTCTCATCTCAAGCATTTCTGGGAAGGGATGCTTCAGTGAGACCGTTTTACTTTTTGTCTCTGTGACTTCTAACCTCGTATGTTAATGGGCATAGGCACGTATCTTGGTTTAAAAGATATTTTAATAAGTCTCAGGTCACCTAATCAATGTCATCTGTTGGGAAAGAATGGGACACTCACTTCTATGGGCCTGCAATATAAACCTCCTGCCTTGTGCACGCCGACACTGACACGTTTGTGCTTCATCTCCCGTTTCTCCCTCCCGCCCTGTCCTCACCCCAGGACCTGGGCAAAGCCATCCTCCTCACAAGGTGGATTTTGCCATGCACGTTTCTCCTCGCGTGCTCAGGGTCCCCTTCTAAGATTCTGACCCTGCCTTGGCTTTCATGCCCTCTTTTTAGGGACTCTCTATGTGGTTTCTGGAGAGTCTTAAAACCAAATGTTTCAGAGGCCAGGTGGTGGTGGCTGGATTCCCACATGACTGACTACATGGTTCAAGTCCCGGACCTGGTGGCTTGAAAATCAGGCCACGTATGTGTGTGTGTGCCCATAATCCTAAGGGGAAGAAGAGATGGAGGAGAAGGCATTGGGGCACAGCCACACCCCCGGGAAGTATTTTTTTTACTGCCCCACCTCCAGTGAGCACACGTGCCCTATGGCGAAGAAAGAAAGAAAAGGCAAACGCTTTTAAAGTGTGTGCTGTGGGAAACGAAAACATATCTTTTCAGGAAAGGTTCTTCAGTCGTAAGTGAAATACTATGTTTGGGAAGAGGGGAGGCCAGAGTGCAGGTGGGGTGACGGGATCCCTTCTGGAAGCTGCACAGTTGGGCTGCTCAGCCTACTGGATGGCTCATGGGTGTCTGTAAATCCATTTTGTTGGCTTTTTAGAAACTGTAAAAATAGCAACAAAAGCAGATCATATGACACCCAGCTCCAGCCCAGCTCCAGCCCAGCTCCAGCC